CTTTGCATGTCATTCACCCATTCATACACTGCAGGCACAGCCAACGGGAGCAGGAATAATACCTCTAGTCCTTACCCCGCTGAATGCACTGTAAGGCCACCTCAGGTGTCGAGAGAAGAATCTACAATCGAAGTGTTGAGGTTTTGTCTCTGACAATGGAGAGGTGGACAGGCATGGCCGACTGGCTGGAAGGCAGGCCACTCGTGGGCTTCTCTATTGTCTCTTGCATCTCATGCAGTCTTTGCAAGCTGCCATTATCAGCATGGACAGTCACACACAGCCTAGAGTAAAACCCATATGAGTCTGATAAGGTGGGCAGCTAAATGTAAGCTGCTGGGTAAGCCCCGTCATTATATCCTCGTGCAGTCTGCTGTAAACGACGAGGCCTATCTGCTTTTTCGATTGGAATCCCTCACAGATGTTAGCTCCATGGATTAAAGCTATCTTCAGTGCGGCAGTCACGTTTTGCTGGCACAGGCCTGTGGCCGGTAAGGACTGGCTTTCTATAGTCATGGCAACTTCAATTGAGCCCACGACAAGGACATTAGGATAATAATGTTAAGTCATTTTAAAGTTCAGATATGGTATGTAGCAGCACTTGACAGCATTTTCCTGAACCTGCAGGAATCCAGTAAACTGCAGATTTACATAATACAGGATTTGGGGCATCTTTGCATAATCAAAATGAGTGTGGTCTAGAAGCTAAAGGAGCATTTTTGATGTGTATCTAAAGACTCTGGAAACCGAGCCACACAACACTAGTCCAGCCAATCAGCAACCGACGGCGTTTGTGCTAGTGCACAGGACAGGGGAAAGGCCATCGATGTATAGAGTTAAAGTCCCGACACTTCCGGTAGACCATCGTGGGACCTAATTTCTGAAACAATATGTACGGTAGTCAACGACGAGAGACAAAAACATTTTTGATCCAATTGGAACTGTGCCATGAATTAAACATGTTTGTTCATTAAAAAAATATTTTTTATTTTTAAGATTGTTGCATTTTGTCATAAAACTGTTGAAATATAAGACTGTGAAAAATACGTAATTAAAAGAACTACACACCCAAAAGTCGCGTAAGTAACCAACTCCAGCATCTCTTATACTTTTATTCCCAGATTTCCTTAATATTTGTATCATTTGTTATGTTGTATTTGCTGCTATGTACATCTGAATCATATTAATATTTATATGTAGAAGGTTGTAATATATGTAGCTGAGAGAAGAGAACTGGACTTTGTTTCTGTGCTCCATACATACATTATTCATTACCTTTTGCCATTTTCTGATCCTCTAACACTATTCTCCTTTTTTCCATTACTGCTCTCTTTTGTCTCCCTGTCGCAATTTACAATCTCTACACAGTGAAAAGAGCACAATGTCGTCCATACTGCATGTTATTGACCGCTTGTTTACGAGTTCCGGTCTACAGTATTGTCAGTAAAGATCACAGGTGCATACCTGTAGCTAATGAATGTCTCTGAAAGACATTTAGACTCAAGCACCCTCTCTCCATCCATTTTTTCCATTTTGCCTGCTGGTCTACTTGTGCTGTCAGTTGTTAGGCTCAGCTCGAGCTACTTTTACGAGAGAAAAAGCACTCAAGCCCAATCATTACTTTGAAAATTGGGGATTTTTGTCAACATTCAATTAAACAGACTGAAAGACGGATTTGTGTATTTTGGTCTTTAGTAGAGTCTGACAGAAGAGTGGTACAATTAACCCGAGATTGAAAGAAAGTGAACAAAATCAAGATGGTACATAGTTAAAGACAAATGCTATATCACCACAAACACACTCTCTTATGGAAATAACACTTCCTACTTGTTTTACCAAATATGTGTTTAAGGAAAACTGCTGCTTGAATTACGTTGAGTGGGAAAATTTTCCCAAGTGGAATAAGTGCTGTGTTTTTGTATCATCATATAAGGAGACGGTTAGGATGGCAGGAGTACAAAGCACAGGACTTTGACACTGTCCAGTACATGATTAGGTTTAAGCAACAAAAGTACTTTAGTTAAGATTAGGGAAAGATAGGTTTTAATTACATGTTAATAAAGTTAAAGTAACAGTTCACCCCCCCCCCCCCAAATAAACATGTTTCCTTTTTCCGGTTGTGCTATTTATCAATCTAGATTGTTTTGGCGTGAGTTGCTTAGTTTTGGAGATATCTGCTGTAGCGATGTCTGCTTTCTCCAATACATTGGGGCTATATGGTACAATTTTCAGAAATCTTATCTTGCACCACCAGCTGTATAATATACACACAAATATATAGTTGTTTTGATATCAAATTTGCTGTTGAAAATGTGTAAGTAGGTACTCTTGTGTTACTTACTTACTTACAAATTATCATAATTTCTAGAAGACCAGATTGCATCTTGGGAGTTATGACAGCAGCAGTATCTGCATATTAGAATACATATGAACTGCTGTTGAATAACACATCAGGGACATCAGCCTTCCCCATCGCTCATAAAGTGGCCAGTCCGTGTTTAATCTGCAGGGAGGCTTCTCTGTTGTTGTGGATCGAGCAACAACAGTAATTGATCAGTGGCTGCTGGTGAAGGAAACCTCCTTAATTAAATTGAAACCCGTCAAGCTCTTTCACATGAAGCACACTGTGCACTGGTGATGCTGGTCTCCATGGTGACTGCAGGATGCTGGTCTGAATTTGCAGAGGAGATGCAGAGTTGGATGTTTTAATTTTCTGATAGTGGTGAACAGCACACGCTAGGGACTCTGAGCAGCCTTGGGCCATCTTCTTGTGTGTTTATCTGAGTTCCAGTGGAAATGCACTTTGCAGCCCAATGTCATGAAGGACTATTTTGAAGCACTCTCTGCTATTTCAATTGAATCATGGTCATGCAAGAATGGATTATTCCATTAGGAGCCCAACAATTTTAAAGCAAATATTATGCTATCCCTCTTGTTTCCAGGGAATAGAGGATTTTTCAGAAAAGGAGCTCAAGCTGTTTTCTCTGGGCTTCATTTAATTTTGTTTATTTTTGCCAACAATTAAAGTTAGGCTTGAAGCACAGATGCTGCATTAGAATTTTTTTTTTTTTACAGATTCAACAGAAGAAGCTTAAAAAGTATGATCAGCACAATTGCCTTACACACTGTACTGCAGTCAGGGGTTAAACAACACAATGGCATCTTACACACATTATTTACATTCACAAAGGCTTTTCAGTATTCCGTTTACAGTGTAAAGCTGTTTCATATCAAATATAAAAATGACAAAATTGATAATGACAGCAAGGCAAATTACAAATTACAAAGGCTGAACGGAGGACGAAGATTGAAGAAGCAATCAGTTATATGAACATCGATTGACAATCAATAGGAACTCTGTTCAGCACAAGTGACAGCAGACTCAGCTCTGCTGCCTCACCTCCTAGAGTCCCAGATTTATAAACTGTTTCACACATTTAACCAAATTAGCTACAGTTCATTAATATAACACACAACAAACCTGCCATACGCAGTGATGTTTAACGACCATTCAGACCCTCTTAGTGACTTTTATTTCTTTAAAGCAACAAAATAAGCGACCATCAGGCAAAAAGTGAGGAATACTAAATGTATTCTATTTATTCTCTTTTTTTTTTATACTTTAAATGAGACCTCCCTGTGGTGAGTTTGTGATTATTTGTCTAAAGATTTCTCTAACTTCCTTTTTTATATGATTGTAAATGCAAAGGAGTTAGTAACAAACTGTAGTTTACTACAGACAGAAATCACCAGAAGGTGGTGCATTGAAATTGATCTGCTCATCTGCAAAATATTTGGTTCTATAGTCTTGATGATGCAGTGATCATACAAACGGGGACAGTGGGTGAACTGCTGTAGCTGACTAGTGAGTCACTAACATTGTAGTTCATTCAGTCACATTAGCCCCCGTAGCTTCTCTTTATTTTCTCAGTACTGTTCTGTTTACTCCCCCTGGAATGTTAGGCTGTTCAGGTTGACTATGTGTAAATGTAATATTAATTGTTAAGATTAGTTTCAGTTTTTTTCTCCTAGGAAATGTTTAATTTTTTTTTTATATTGCTTTGCCAATTAAAGGACCAGTAATATCCTACAAATAAAAAAGCTCTGAAGGTTCCTGTGACTGAGGTGATTTTGCTGTATACGTGCAAAAAAAATGAAGCTCATTACATCAGTGAAGAGCATCGAGGAACAACAGTCGGGGATGATTTGGGAGGCAGAGTATTTACATACGGGGTGCGGTCCAAACTGCTTGATTGTAAAGCTTGAAATCTCCATTGCCATTAGGGCAACATTGATTGACCAGCATTGGTCAGTAACATTTGAATACCTCTGTTTCTTTGTTATTGTCACTTTGTAATATGAGGTGGTAAAATATTACTGATTTGTGCCTTGTGGACATGGCCACGCAGAGAAAATCGCAATGATATTGAATTTAACAAACTGTATCCAACAACTGAATCAATTCACATCTAAAAGAATGGAAAAAGAAGAAGAATTCTGCAGTCAGAGGAAAAATGACACAAGGAAACATTTTTAAATGAGCCATCCTAATGTGATAATCAAGTGAAAATCATGCACACTTTAACTTTGATCATACCCTGAATGCACAATGCTGATATTTTGAATATACCCATTTATTGGAAGTAACTCACTTTTGTTTATTTTGTCAAAATATAATAAGTTGACCACCCTTTTCATCCTTTTTTGGGGGAAAATGATTCTATACATTTTTGTCATTGTGCCCTTAATTTGAGTTTGCAAAAATAATGTTGGCTGAGAGATATTCTGCACACCTGACAGATGCAGCACTTTGTCAAAGCTAAGCATGTATATACAGTACAATTTAAATCCCCACTATCATTGTAAGAAAATATGCAGGAATGTATCACAATAGACAATATGTATAGTCTCTCTCCTTGTCTCTGTGAGTAACTCTACATTGCTGAATCTGTAAACAGAGCAGCCATTTCCAAGCATCAGCTTGTTGTTTTCCCCTTTTGTTCTTTTTTATTTTATTGAAGCCTCATGAGTCAAAAGCATTGTGTGGAAATAGTATGATCTAAAAAAGTGTACAGAAAGCATACAGAACTACAGGTACTCCTCAGAGTCATTTTAACTGTGGCTGAAGCCAAATTTGTTCAAATGCAAAAGCTTTATGTTATCTACAAATTCACATTTATTGACATGTTTCTTTTCATTGGTCAAGTCAATTCTAAATAGAGACCATCACAAATAGCTAAAGGGGACTTTACTCTCATCTTCTTTGATTTACATTGAGTTTGGATAGGTTTTATTTATTCCACATTCACCACTTTAAATTAGCATTTCAACTTTATTCAAAACTATGCCGCATTTTGACATGTTTGCCTTCATATTTTGCCTTCAAAATACTTCCACATGAGAGCAAATTTAGTTAAGTTCTGCATAATCACCTCTGACATACATCATCTGGTATGCAGAGTTGAAATGATCATTAATTGAACGGCATCCTTCGTTGAATGTCTCCAATTTGATTGATGTCATCATCTCTTGGAGTAAATAAATTACCCGGAGTAAATTACCAGTCAATATGTCCTAAAATGGGCCACATATATTCCAGTTGACAGGCTTTAAGATCATTTAAATGCAGATCAGTAATCGCCTTGAAGCTGTTTGTTTGTTGACTTCAAGGACCGGCATCTCTGTGATGAAGATGCTCCCAGACCGAGTTTTGGTGTGTTAATTGACAACACATTTCTTTCAAACAATAAACCAACGAAGTAAGTGAAGTGCCAACATTATTATTCAGTAGCATGTTTGCCATTCTGCTCATTCTGCTCAGAGGCTGTCTGCAGGCTTGACACCACTCACGAAAGTCAAGTAGGCGTGCAGAAAAGAGACGTCCATAGAAATCCATGCATATGGTCCAATGCCATTCTGGATTTTTCCATCTGAGCACAAAACCTTACGAACTGGGCTTGATTGGGATTCCATGTCCTGTGTGACAGACCTTTTCAGAACCATGGAACATTGAGTCCAGGTTTTTTCTTTAAACACAGTTGATGGTGGCGGAGTCTAAAGGTAAAAAACAAACAAACAACAAGTGTCCCTTTTTTGTTGTTGAAGTTTCCCCTATTTCTCAATGTAGAGAGTGGTTGACCTTGTTGTGCAACAAACTTTACTATAATTCATCCAGCTGTCGGTGGGTATCAGTCGTGCTCTGTAAGGCTACTTTTTTGTGTTGATGGTAAAGATACAGATGAAAAAGTCAAAATTCTCCTTTATCACCACAATCTCTTTTGTTTCTTTGAATGCAAAGGCAAGTGTTCCTTAGAAGAAATGAAACGATTGAAATGAAAATCACATTGTTTCAGAATCCCATCTTTTGTTACAATCCTGTACCCTGTGAGTCAGTCTGTTTTATCACAATGCTCTCTGGTTAATGATGTTTGAACAATACCTTTTTTGCTTGACAAGATAGAAATCTGCAGATGATTTTGTATCATCAAAAAGGTCTGTACACTTGTCTTCTGTTCCATTTGGGCAGACTAATTGTGAGCTGGGGATGCTCTGCTTCGTAATCTTGCTTACATTTGAATATATTCTTTGGGCTATCACCCCAATCTAGTGTCTCAGCCTTTGTAAGGCGTCACATTTGATTCCATTTTGTTATCAGAACTTCAACAGAAAAGTAAGAGAGTGAAACTTATTTTCCGTTCTCTTTAGCTATTCCTTTTGAATGTTCAGTCAGCCAAATTGGAGAGAATAATCAGCACTACTCTGTTCTTTGAGAGTAGCTTTTTCTCTTTATGATCTTTAAAACTCTGTTGTGGAGATCTGGGTGATCTCTGATTGCAGTTCTTGCTGGATCCTCCTCGAGCGAGAGCTGTGTGGGACCCTTTCCATGCCTAGTCATGCCGGCTTCTTTTCCGCTTCTGTTGGAGCACAGACGGACACTGGCTCGCTTGTGTTGTTACGGCCTCTTGTCAGACTGTGCTGCTCCACGTGGGTTTGACAGGGAAGGCAAAAATCCCTGAAGCACCGCTTAAAATTTTCATCTAAAAATGCGTAGAGGACAGGGTTAAGGCTGCTGTTGGTGTAGCCCAGGGCGATGCACAGGTGCCAGCTGGCTATCACGAAGGGGTTCCTTGTGTCGATCTCCACCATGGTCTTCACGATGATAAAGATGTGAATGGGGGTCCAGCAGATAATGAAGGCTGCCACTATTACCAGGACCATGCGGGTGATGCGGCGCATGTTGCGGTCTTTCTCCTTGGAGCCTGAGAGCAGACGAACGCTCTTCAGGCGCAGGATCATCAGGCCGTAACATATGGTGATAACCATCACAGGAACCACGAAAGCAAAGATGAAGACACAGATCTTTGTCACAGTGTCCCAGTACCAGTCAGGGTCAGGGAACTTCAGCATGCACATGGTTTTACCTGGAAATAGGGCAGGTAGAATTCAAAAGATTTTGTTAGTGTACGGTTATGGTAACAAGCAGGTTTAGACAGATGCTGGCTAAAGCTACAGAGAAACATCCCCGGTCTTTCACCCGCATGTGCTACTGGCCCTTCCACCACCCTGGTTTCCTCACCTTTATGCCCTGTTATACTTATATTAGGAGTTTGTCTTCATATACGGACTCTCTATTGTCTGTCACAAGCCTGAAGTTTGTGAGCATGGTAAGCATTGAGCATTTACTCTTAGCGGACAGTTATTTGCTCTTGTTGCCATCATATGTGTGCACAACAAAGTAGGTGCTATGGGTTGATGTCCAGGTTGTCATCCTTCACGTCTGTTGTCTATTTCAACTTCTTGAGGTTGTGCCGATAGTCGACCACTGAGTCTTCAGCCACAGTGGGCAGAACCGGGATAATAGGAATGTGCCTCTACTATTTTAGTCCATGTGTGTGAAATACGTGTGTTACTTAATGCTTTGCACACTAGTTTCTTCATTGGCACCTGAGACTGTATATAAGAAGTGGACAGAGTCACGTGATGTCACCCATTGACTTGTGGACTACTGTTTTGAGCCCAAGTGTTCGGCATTTTGTCTGTTGCCATCTTGTTTCTTTGCAACCAGAAGTAACCCAAAAGGGTGGAGCTAGGTACAACTAAACGCTGAATAAGACATTTTTAGATGGTCAAAACATTACATTTATCTTTCATGAACTGAAAACGCACTGTGAAAGGGTTAAAGTTGTAAGATGAAAGCGTGGACAACTCCCAGACCAGACAATGGCGAGGTAGTAACCTGTCTATCACAAGGTATCCTCACCCTAAAGCGTACCCTGCTTTACTGTCTATTTTACTCTAAACGGGACCATCATTTATGAAATGAACATCATGCTGTATTAAAGAGGACTTGAAACTAGCGATTGAGAGCATAAACTGATGTTTAAATGTTTACTAAGGTAATAAATCAAGTGAAAAGTAGGGTCATATCCTTACAGACTTTAGAAAGATAACAAGTTCATGGCATTTTTGCATTAGGTTTACTTTTCTTGGCACTGAACATTTGTACTCATTGACGTAAATTGTCCTCTGCAGATTTTCCCGATAGGAACATGATTTCTAGGAATACTGGTCTGTTTTTCCTGAGTCTTTCATCTGTTATGCACATTGGTTTTCTCCTTTTAAAGATTCATTACAAAGATATTTTTATTCTTCAAGGTCTACTTGGGAAGGAGATGTGACGGTATCCCAAAGACATTGATGAATTGAACTAGTCTAGGCTCATCTTTCAGCCTTAAAACTTAATGCAGACACACAACATAGATGTTGTGGCCCTGGGTGAGTAGTAAAGGTAGTACGGTTCAGGGACTATTCAGGGCTACTCCTGGAAATCAAATAGTATCCTCTGTTTTGGTTTAGATGGGGAGATGTTTGGTCTAAATGTTTCAGAGGCTTTTTCCTTTGTGTGACATGAAAGCTCTGATGAAGTTCTGAGGAACAGCAGCTTGGCATAATAAATGCTAATTACGCAGATCAGAGCACGTCTTTTCTTGAGCACTTTTGCAAAGATTTAGTTGGGGGAGCCATACAAATTCAACTCTTCATGGCTTACCCAATTCTGGAAGACGGTTAATACCATAAAGACTTTACTTAAAAATGAAAGACAACACAGTGGAAGAGAACACTATCTCACCATTATCCTTCACTTTGGTCACAGCCATGACCATAATGGGCACCCCAATCGCAGAGGACAGGACCCAGATGAGCACGTTGATCATTTTCGCCTTGACCGGCGTCCGAAACTCCAGCGCTCTGACTGGATGGCACACAGCGATGTAGCGGTCCACGCTCATCATGGTCAGGGTGAAGATGCTCGTGAACATGTTGTAGTAGTCAATGGCAATAATGAGCTTGCACAGGACTTCCCCAAACGGCCAGGTGTTCATGAGGTATTTGGCACTCTGGAAGGGCAGCGTGCTGGTGGCGAGGGCGTCGGCAAGAGCCAAGTTGAAGATGTAGATGTTTGTGGCCGTCTTCATCTTGGTGTATCTGATTGTGATCACAATGCAGAGAAAATGGGTTTGCAATAAGCAGCAGCTGTAATAAGAGCAGCTGGGTGTGGAATGCTCTGTTATGGGATATGGGTTTTTTTATGCCTTAGAGTAAAAGTGAATTCCCTCATGCTATGGATGTGCAGTGTAAAGCTTTGATCAACAACATATCTTTTTCTAAATGAGAGATTTGAGATAATCCTTACAATTGGCTTATGGGCCTCTGATCAAGCAGCCTACTTGCAAGAAAAGCACCAGGGAAATGTGAAAAGAAAATACTACTGCTGTCTAATTGAGATTCATGTATATTGTATGTGTTGGATACTGCTTTTAGCAATGGACTGTGCATTCTTCTTTGAGTGTGTGAGATGAAAATAGGTATTAGAAGAAAAAATAACGGTCATCGGCACTCATTTTATTTGGTACAGTATTGGCTTATTGAGGTCAGAAATTTTCCTCAGGAGTATAAAGGCTTATTTTCACAAAGGCTTCTCTCATCAAAAACCTTACAAGATACTGAATATAAAGCTTAGCTGATTTAGTTTTCGAAGAGATTGCAGTTTTTTAAAATTATTGCTTCCAAATACAATCCAATTAACATGCAAAGCAGACTGCCCAAAGGCACAACAGACAAGCATTAGAGACCCGAGATTGACAACATTTCTTTAAGAAATACTGTTTACTACATATTACAATGCTTTATGAATATATTTTTCTGATACTATTGAACATTTTGTTCAGTTATTTTTTATTTTAGAATTGTCTGAATGAATAGGTTGATTACACAATACATTTTAATAGAAAATATAGAGAATAAAAAGATAAAAATCGTTGTGCTGTTCCATTGAAATTAATTCTGATGTTTAAATGGATATGTTTTTGGCTTTCTTTTGTTGTTATTTTTCACGCAGCCTCTACAGACAATAATAGGGGTATTGATGGTGGAAGTGATGGCAGGGGTCTGCATATTTGAAGCAAGGTGTAGCCAAACTCAACACACAAGCATAGATATTAAACCTAACCCTTTTTATTGGGCTTAGCCATCTTATGAGGGACCAACTCTAATGCATCTCATTGGTGGAACTGATTAAATGCACACAATAAATGTCACCTGTTTTGATAGGATTTGTTCTGTGTAATTTGTACCAAGTTTTAAATTACAAATAACTGATCCAACAAATACAAAGTGAAGTAAAGAGGCAGGACTAAGAGTAGCCTATACATGTAACAAGCGGTCTCTGCCACTTGCTGGTGTGACGTTGTAAACCTGTACCATGTTGTTGTCTTTCTGGAAAACAGACTCTCAGCTTATGTCTTGCTTGTACAAATGAGTCCTCCTTGAGGCGAGCTGTCGAGTTTATAGATAAAGTTAGTCTTTAAACTGGAAGGGCCATCAAAGTTTAATAGATGACATCAGATGACACTTTTGGGAGTTGGTCCATTGATGATATATTAGTGACTGAACTCTGTGGGCAGGAATTTTGTCTGATAAAATTAATCTATTTGATGTGAACACAGGCTTCAGCTGAATCAGAAATTATAATTACATTGGTTGTTACATTATTTACCCTCTGCTGAGTCTCACTATTACTGATTGTGTCTCATCGGTTCAGTTGAAGGAGAATCCGCAGGCAACTAAATGATGCATTCCATTCAGTTGTGTCATTTTCAGGAAGCTGCTATTTTGACATGGCTTATTAGGACACTAAAATGAAACCAAAGCCCCAATCAGACTGGATTTATTTCTCTTTGGAAGGTGGGGTGATTTTAGAATTATCTGCACTGGCCAGTGATTTGAATCTCGTCATGGCAATTCAAAGTAGATCTATGAGTTTTTTATGAAGTGGGAAGAGCTGCTCGTCTTTTTTACAACAAGCTCTGTGTGAAATTTGGCTTTTGTATTTAAACTGAATAAATTAAAAATGCTGATTCCTGAACTTGCGTAAAGGCTGATATCTAGCGCCGATCCGACACCAGTGCATTAAAAACACCTCGCAGATCAGTGGGGAGATTGTCCAGTGTATAATATATTGCCAAATTACTGACATTTTGCTTGTTCTGGCTAACGTTACACTCTGCACTAGCATCTGCCTGATCGCTACTGCGCAGGTCAAACTTACAACAGACATTCGAAAAAAGTGAGGTGGCTCATTCGTCAGCTACTTTCATCATAATTTCAGAAGCAGCGATTGTTTTTTGCTCGAGTTTAGCTAATGATTGAGCCATCACATTCGTGGTACCGATTGGGGAAGTGAGCGACACGTGTTGTTGTTCCTATGTTGTGTTAAAAAGCTGATAAATTATATGATGACAAGATATAGGATTGGTGCACTGACTCGCGTATTCGCCAATATCCGATCCTTGCATTGTATGCTGCCTCTTAGGTATTTCTGATACTGGTATCGGAACAACTCTCAATAAAGATCTGACTTGAGTTATGATTTACCTACACCTCCCCCTTGAACTCTCCTGTGCCCTCCTGGGGAGGCTTTTGGCTTCCTCTTTAAGCTTTGTCCTTGCCTTGCATGTGCATTACATACCATATCCTATAATTTCCTGATGGTTAGGATGCCATCTTGAATGATGAGTTTAATCACAGAGGAGCACAGTGAACGTTTCATTCTTCACCTCGTGTATCGTTAATTCCGTCCAATTGGGGTTTAAATCATAATTATTGTTATTAGTTACACCTGTGCTCTTTCTGCTTATGACAAGTCAAATTGTCTATCCTTTCAAATTGTAGGTCGAAGGCTGTTTAATGTCAATTTTCAGCAGACCGCCATGTGGCCTTGACTCCAAGAATTGAATCCAGCTTTATTTTCAGTTCATGTTTCAATCTAGACAGAAGGAAACAGAGAAGTCAGCAGCAGAAGGCTGGCTTTGAACATCCCCTTGTTTGATCAGTCTAATCCAATATGTGTATCTACTTACAGCAAAGGAGTGCAGTGAGCATTTGGTAGTTACGTAAGGGCTGTCAGTGAAACGAGCACCATATTAATGTAATGCATTTATGTAAAATAGCATCAGTCTAACAACACAATTAAAACTCTGTCATAGTGACATATGGTTAACAAACAGTTAACTGCTCTCTGTTTACTTTTGCATCTCAATTTGTCTGAAGCCTTTGATTAAGCACCTAAAGCCTGGGTTTTGACATGTGGAGAGGATTATGTGTCACTTTGATAATTGAACTGTGATTCCAAAGAAATCTCTTTCCCTACTCCCTAATCCAAACTGAGACACACACTGTATCCTGTTCGTCAGTGCTTCAGTAAACGAACACTGGGATAACTGGACCTAGATGTTACACCACCCAATGTTATGACCATGTGGAGATTAGAAATTAAAAAGGTAGACTGTAGTGTCTGTACACACAGGTACTGTATATCAGAGGTAAAAGTAATTTAAAAGGGAGTGTGTAGTTCTTTCGCCCCGAGATAGTATGTTACATCCATGGTGGCACTCAGGATCTTGGTTGGATTATGAGGATACCAAAGAGCCGTTGTGGCATTTAAAATAGACAGAAGTGGCTGCAGGGGGATGCTCTTTTATGCTTTATAATGTGCCTCCTCCCAGCAGGTGACAAACACATGACACGACTTTAATTTCACACCAAGCAGTGACAAGAGGTTATGTATAAAACACAGGAATTGTGACTAGAAACTTTCCCATTTCCAAGTTGTGTCATTGCAATGGAATAGCTTGTCCTGAGGTTATGTTATGGTTAATTGCTCAGTGTATAATTCAGATCGAGAGGAACGCTTGTATCTTCCTTTTTCTAGGCTTGGATAGGCAATTAAGTTTTAAGAAATCTCATTGTAACGCCCTTTTTCATGTTACAGTGAAGCACGTTTGTCACACTCTGTGATGGTTTAATCGCCCGCTTCCTCCTTTTGTTTTTCTTTCCTTACAGCATTGACTCTGTGTTATATGTATGCGGCTGTCATGGCTGACCAATGCCTTCCTCCTCACACATGTGTTCTGCTGCCACAAGAATGAAACATATCTCAAAAGCAGTACACTGAAACCATCAGGGCTGTAGGAGTTCAGTAGCAATTATTGACCATCCTGACCTCTGGGGTCTGTAGGCATGTGAACGATCTCTGCCAAGATAGAGTGCCATCGATCACTGGTTTATTATTCAGCTTGCCATTAATCAAATGCCGCCAACTATGCACTATGTAAATTCTATCTAACCTGCCAAGGTTTGAAAAGCAACCTATGCTTCACCAATTCTGTTTGAAAACTGTATGATAACACCAGTAAACACAAAACCCAATGATTGCATTGATGTAACCAAAGGGCTCAAAGAGCTGAGTGGACTAAAAATATCTCCTGTTGCCAAGTTGTATCTAAAGTCAGTCCTATTTAGTGGAGAAGTGAAAAACGTTTCCATTGCATCAGAATCTTATAGGATGGTAATGATTGTTGTAATAGCAAACCCTGAGCCCTTACGCCTAGCAAACAGAATGAATGGCTTCTGATAAAAACACATGGAAACATACATGAATGACAATGGCCCCTTGCCCACCTCCTAGCACCCTACTTCTGGTGCCCTTCCTCGGACCACACCTGTCTTCTTGTCCTTCATTTTGATCTCACCTATTCCCACCCGTAAAGTTCCATGACTGCATATTGCATGGTTGAGACATATTGAGTTGACCATATCAGTCAATAGACGAACAGAACGAGAGATCTGGCAAACAACTCAAAGAACTCAAAGACACTTCTATGGCAGGCTGGTTGCCACTACAGAAGGTCTCTCCAGGACAAGATTACACACAGACTAACAAGGTGAAAGCAATACCAGTCACACGCTGTCACGGCTGTTTTGGCGCTCCATCCAAATCCACATTCAGGTATAGAGAATCAGCATTTAGATTGAAATCAGTGTTGATCCTTTATCTCTGCGCGAGTTGGATTAACACTGCCTGTTGTGACTACATCAATTCTTCCTCGCCTGTGTTTCCAGGGCTGAAGGCCAATACTCAAACCACACACACACTGATATGCTACTGGGTGACGTGGAGGACAAGCAATGAGACACAGTGTGTGTTAGTGTGTGTGTGTGTGAGTATCAGTCTGTTTATTTCCTGGGTTGAGACAACAGAGTCATGCAGTCATGATATGTTCAGCCAAATCTCCACTCCCAGTCCCCAAGGAACTGTTTTTGACAATGTTGACTCATACTGTAGTTCTTTTATCTTTACCAAAATATTACCATACCAGGAAACCTAGGGTGTGAGAATTCCGTCCATTATCTGCTTTGTTGGCAGAAATGGAACAATAATCCTCAAGCAGCTCAGTTCCACTTACACACAAACTAATCCAGCCTGCCACTATTTGCACACCGAACCGATTTCAAATGGAGGCCACTTGATGATAAATTCCTTGACCACTGAGCCAGGTCTTATCTAACAGGTGTGGCAGCAGGATAAGGGTCCAGATAGAGGGGAGGATAGCTGGAAGATAACAGAAGCCATGTGCTGCTTTCCTACCCTGCGTGGACCATCTCCAGAGGTGCCGGCCTCTCCATCAGCAATCAGACGGGAAGGCTTTCAACGCCACTGCAGCCTAATTCACACAGACGTGAGCATTCATGCAGTATCTACTCTAAATGGAGTTTGTCTGCATTTGAGTGCTTCTAGCCATTAATCTGAGTGGACGGAAATGTCTCAAATTCATGGGTTTTGCTTTATTTATAAGCTGCCTGAAGTAGCAGGCAAAACAAGGAGGCTTTCAATTGGGCTTTTGTTATGATTACTGCTGAAAAGATTGGTGAAATTACAGAAGATTAATAAAACAAAAATGTTGGCAACCCACTGAATATCAAACATTTGCTGGTTCCAGCTTCTCAAATGGGAAGATTTGCTACTTTACTCTGTTTAATATATTTGGATTTTGAGGGACCTTTTCCATTATTTCTGATATTTTGGAGATGACTGATTGCAAACATAGTTGCATTTCTAATTGTATTCTTTATGATTTTCATTATATGAAACTAGATTTTGTCTTTGGAATGTCAGAAAATAGTAAACGTTTGCTCCCTTTAGAGTTTACAGATCTTCCACAGGAGAGAATATTCTGCTGGGATGGTTCATGCGCTCAGTTTCTTTTTGCCTCTATGGGGTTTTTGCATCAGTGATGAATCCTCTTGCTCACAGGAACACGAATGCCAGACGAATTACTGCCTTTTCTGAGGTCTCATCCATCTCCTTTTTGTCTCCTTCTTATCTCCCTTGCTCACTCTTTTTTTTCCCGTCTTGTGCATTGTTTTTTTCCATTATTTTCACACCAACCCCTGGATGGAAATAATGGGCAGAGTTGTAAATATGTATGAGTTTTTTATGGTTCAATATCCAAAGATTGCCAATTGCAGAAAATGCCTAGCTTGTGACTTTTTCTATATTCTACTCTATCTGTTTTAAGCACTTCCTCTGCTTCTCTCTTTCATTGTATACATTAAAGTAATACCAACAACCATTTAGACCATGTTCATATCTAAATGTCATGCTTGTGGGCAGATAACAACCACTGGCCTTGACTGCTTCGCTTCCACTCGTCTGTATTATCCTTCTCTGCTGAGGCAACTTAAATTAATTCTACCTGCTTATTAAATTCACCGGCCCAGCTGCAGTAATTAATTACCTTTACTAGCAGTAATTAATGCTTTAGGTGATATTGGGGGAACACGTACAGCGAATGTTTGAGATTACTATAATTAGCATAATGAGTGAGGACACGCAGCGCTGCTGCAAAAGCTGTTTATTCCTGACAAGCATACAGGTTAGCGCTGGGTGGCTTCTCAGGAAATGACAGGTTGCGTGTCTAGTGACAAAGTGGGTGTAGGCTTTATTATAATTACTTTTAGAGCTGAGGGGGAAACTGTGACCTCCGACTGACGATTATACTGCAAACATTCACTAATGAACAAAATCTGGTTCCTCTCTACAAAGTCGTTAAGCCTGAAAATACCTGAGTTTCCATCACTTAAAAAGCTTAAATATATAATGGGTTTAGCACTCTTGTTTGCATGTCAAGAGGCAAACACAGAACACACATTTTCATTCAGACACCACATAAAAACCTTGCCTCTAACTGCACGATTTCCCCTCTCTAACAATCCTGGTGTGTAGCTGATGGTCCACAGATCTGTGTAAACTAATGGAGACTCTGTTTGAACAACCCTCTCTGGCTGAGGCACAGCTGAGTCTGACTGAATTAAGAGAATGCGACTGAGATTAGAGAGTGGATTGCAACCAACCCTCTTAACTTTCGCATGTTGTTTCTCCATGTAGAAATAATGAAAGAACAACCTCATGCTTTAGGGGACCACCTGTTTGGGACGCATGCAGTTCACACACAAATGCAATGAGGAATGCATGCATTTTTTAGTCAAGGGATGCAGAAAATCTTATTTTTTTTTCATGGCATCAAACCTTTCCATTCAATGGAAATCATCGTTGTGAGTGTGGATTTAGTATTTTCATGAAATGGAGGGGGGAGGGCGGGCAGAGTATAAGCCAAAAGCAAGCTTAAAACAAAATTAAGATTTAGAATTAATGCATTCAATTGTGTGATGTCATTACTAGAAGTCACTCAATAGTCGATGTCAAATATCGCAAATTCGGGGGCATTAAAAGGTCTCATGAGAAGGACACTATAATGAGTGCTTGTGGGTGAATTTCACATCAAATGTGGGCTTTGTTGCTCTTATCAAGTGCTTTAAAACAGTTGAGACACTCACCAGTAAAATGACTGTAATGAAAAACAAGTCTTTACCTGACCACCCCGTACATGACGAGGACGTTGCCCAGAAGTCCCACCACGCAAATGACGGAGTAGAGAGCCGTGATGCATATAGCTATGATCATACCCCCGGTGCTCCTCACCGGACCCTGCTGCTCGGTGTAGTTCTGCAGCCTGTCACCCATCTCCCCGTCCGGGAAGGTGACATTGTATGGGATGACGGAGTAGAGGTCGGACAGGGAGAGCTGCGCTCCTGAGACCGTGTACGGCTCCATGCTGCTGCCGCTGCTGCGCTGTGCACTCGACCCGAGGTGCTGAAAACTTGCTCGTACTGTTATCTGGAAGGGGAAATCTTGTCCGACTGAAGGCAAGAAGTGGAGAGAAATAGTGGAAGTCCCCCCCCCCCCCAAAAAAAAAAAAAGTATAGCAGCAGAGAGGCTCTGCGTGAAAGAATTTAGGCTGTTCTTCTGTTTTCTATCCAAAAAGACGAGGACAAAGTGGCCCCTCAGCAGCGGTCAGCTGTGTCTGTGTGCTCACACCTCTTATACTCTCCGAGATCCTCACAGCCCGCGCGCTGTTTTATACACTCGTGTGTCGACGTCAAGGCTGCGCATTATATGGTCATGGGCGTAAAACGGGAACGTGATGGGTGCCATATCTAGTCCTGAATTGATCTGGTGGGCTCTACAACTGAGCGCTAAGTAAAAATAAATAACCTCACCTTTGGAACAAATACCCAATCTTGTGGAAGGAAAAGAAAGTAATGCCTCACACTGAATATTTTGCAAATCATTTGCTCTCCAGGTTTATGAAACCAAGTGAACATGTTAAGGCAGCTGATACCAGATGCAAGGACTGTGCATTAAATTGCTTTGTCTGCTTACAAGCTGTGAAATTAATCGACCCAGCTGCCAACAAACAAGTAAGTCCAAAATCAATAATGCTCCCACTGTGGTTTAAGAATGTACCTGACAGAAGAAAATAAAAAGGTTTTACAATGTTCTTACTGCCAAGAGAGGAAAGTCAAAATCAGTAGTCCCTCCTTATACTGTACAAAACCAATCTGAAAAAGTATTTACTTTAACAATGTCACTGCAAATAAATTAGACGATGATGAATTATGTTATTACAGATGAGAAAACAATCTAACTCCAGCTTTCTTTCATATGAACCTAATCGGCAGACGTTCCATTGAATTATAGACTTTCATTGATTTCTGAGGATGTTAAATAATAAATAAACACCAATTTAAAATGTTATTTTTGTTGACCTCCAGTGGTTTAACTTCTCAAAATGATGCAGTGACTTACAGGTGTAGCTCAGGTTACTCCAGGATACGGTGAGATCACTTCTGGGTTTACAAGAGCAAGAGGACACATTTCTGACCAAACACATACAGCTTTTGTTTTTGTGAGCAAAACATCGATATCACCAAAGATACTCTATAACAAAGCCAATCGTTCATAATGGTATCCACTTCCTGTTTCCTATTTGGCATGGTCATGGCGTGTTCAACTTATATTTACACATTTTACTCTCTTCTTCTCTTCTCTCCGCCAATGAAAAGAGCCTTTGCAGGCCTATCTGTGCATTACTGTACATCATGACATCCAGAGTGTCTTAACTCATCCTATCTACTTTACTCTGTCTGTGTGTGGGATTGATCAAGGTGAGTCAGAAGTTCAGGCAAACAGCAATGGCAGGGTTTTCTCATGGGAGTTAAAGGCAGGTCGATCCTTGACCCTTTTCACTTGCTCATCAGTGCTTATGTAATGGCTCTGATGTGCCCCCTGGGAAATGATATACTAAGCGGATACTACCTGTGCTGGAATTCAGATTGGTCATTAGGCGCTTCGAGATCCATCGCTCACTTCAACCCATCAAGTGTCCGCCCCCACACACCGTCCCTTTTGGTCATCCTCCCTCTTGACCACAACACACCTTCACTGCTTCTCCAGCGCATGTGCCTGTGTTCTGTAATGTGCATCACTTACTCCTCTCCCGACTCCTTTCCTGCCATCACAGCGTAATTGAACTAGTTGTTTCTCCAGCAAGCCTCTTCGACATTTAACCAGTGTTGAGTTTTTCTCTCTGTTGTACACTTTGTATTTGCTTTATTCTCTGTGCTGGTCCAGAGTGTTTATTTAATGTGTGGAAGTCGTTCCTGCAGGATATCGGAGTTTAGTCTAACGTTGCACAGCTCATGTGCAAGAATGGAAAGCTTGTAACAACAATAAAATGTTCAACCTGTACCTGGCTTAGATCAGGAGGCTGTGTTTCACTGGGCTACTTGGGAATTTCTGCATCAATATATGCAGCATGAAGCATAAATAAATCAAATATTAAAAATGAATGCACTCCCATCACACCTAATGTTAGAGTTCAGTGTACCAGTTTCTCTGTTGCCCCCTCTGTTTCAAAGGGCCATGTGCCCTACAGCAACAGGCAGTATACAATATATTTCCACACATGTAAGTCATGGCAGTTAATGTCCCTTGTGGCATTCAGTTATTCCTCAGCCACGAATCCTTGGCCTGTTTAGTTGAATCCCAAATCGTTGAAGCAACTGAAAAGTGGTCAAAAGGTCATGAATTTGTCAGAGTGACATATGCCTGCAAACCTGAGGCTCATAAATAAGTCATTTAACTTCTAAACCATGTTGGAAATAAATCTAAGTCAGTATTCCTACAAGTAAGAGTACACTAAAAGTGTCAAGTTTGAAGATGCACAAGGTTGGCTGCAAAAGAAAAACAAATGCATCTGATCCCTGTTTATTTAAGATGTAATTTAATTCCACTCTGTCAGATTTGGTCATTGGCAGTAAAACACAACGTGCATAAAAAAGCAAACCCATGAAGGAGCCAGGGAGTACTCCATCCAGAGAAAAACAAAGATGGTTCGTCAATGCTGCAAGTAAAAAGAAAAAAAAGATATTAGCACCTTGCACAAGGTAATATCAGTTAGATGGTCCGTTAGTCTATCTGAATGTCAGATCATATCTCATACAGAATGCTGTGAGATTTGCTCAATCATTCTGATTCTAATGATTTTAGTGACCCTACAACCTTTCATCTCGTGCCACTGCCAGGCCAATATTAATTCATGGAGTGTGTGAGGTCTTTTTCTGTTCAGGTTGGAATTTGTAATTCTCAATTTAGTTGTGTAATTTTATACCTTGATACTAATGTGCTGTCTTCAGTCCAGGTTCTCTTGTCATATAGCCGAGTGGTGTTGGCATTTTTACCACGTTTCCACCAATCCCCCAAAGTTCAAAAGTACCTCTAATGCAGTTTCAACTTCAGGGTTTAGGTGAGCTGCTTAGACAACAGGAACGCATTAAAAACTCACAGTCAGGCATCATTTACTTGATGAAAAGCTTTTATTTCAGTGTTTTGTTATGTTGTTTACTGTCTTGTTTACTGTGATGTTGTTTACTGTCATATTTCAGTTTCGCTGCAATAAGGTTGAGGGGTTTTCTGTAATTGCTGATGTGTATTTACTGTATAGATCATGTTGATTTAGAGTGCGGGGAACAAAGAGCAGGCAGCTCCACCATCCATAGGACGGGAGATTTGGAGCACAGGCAATTAACTTTCTGGAGCCTCTGACTGTATTCAATCTTTTGTAAATACATCCTGGGTGTACTGCATGTGTTCGATAGGGAGGAGGTTCTTTATGCGATATTGTGTCTATGTTTCTGAATACATCTTCTCTGGGTGGATTTGTGTTATTTCTACATTTATGATGTATGAAATAAACAATGAACTTTGATCCCATTCTTCCCATTTGACTCGGCCGATGTTGAAAAAGGGAATGTAGTTTTTCGTGTCCTCTCCAAGGCCTTTTAACCGAAAATTGTAAGCTTTCTGAAGCAGATGGAGGGGTGAGGAGGGATATGTCCAGACACATTAACTGCAGCCTTGTTTCCCTTCACACTCAACATTAGCGGAGCTGGATCTGTTATGGGGCTAGGTGTTTACCGTGACATATGGTCATAGCTGCAATTGACGCCAGGACTTCCCAGTTGAGAAATTGTGCCTAAACTAATCATGCAATGTAAGTCATATTACAACTTAGCAAGCATTTTATCTGGGTTTTTCTGCAAATTTGCAGAATTAATGCTAAATAATTTCGAGTATGACATGACATCAAGCTGTCAGGCTAGAAGTCCCTGTCAAGCGTTGGACATGTTCTGCTGCAGGGTTCAATATGTCTAAATGGATTTTTTTTATCTGGGCTCAGAGACATTTTTGCAGCAGTGTCTTCTTTGGCAACCACATTTCCCTCAATTTGTTGCTCTATAATATTTCTCTGTCACTCTTTCACATCTTACTCAATGTAAAATGGCTAATCAAAGAATTGATGTCCATTAGCTTACCACAGAGAGTGTTATGAGTGGCAGAGGAAATCATAACCTTCTCTTTGCAAGATCATTAAGTAGCATTTACCAGTGGGATGCAGCTGACACACAAAGCCTGCCCTGCTGTTCCCAGTTCTAATGTCAAAGCATTGCTCTGGTTTTGCCCTCTTGGTTAGACCGGCACACAGCCTTTTGGCATCGCCACTTTATTGATGATTGCCCTGCCAAGCCCACATCTGCTCTCAAAATTCTTTGGCATAAAAAATGATGCAGGAAAACCATCAAATGGGGACTTATTTTCAGATTGTGCTCCGCAGTGACCATAGCTTTAAACAAACGGTCACAGTAGTGGTGAAGTGGGCCGCCTTTGCCTGTCGTTTATGGAAACGGTGCTTCTTATAATTTTCAGATCTCGGATTAATTATATATTAATATAAGTGGTTGTTATCTGTACAGTGTGAACTTTTAGCCACCGCAGCAGGACTTTCCATTATGCAGATTAATCAAAATGTGAACAAATAGGCTATATGCAGTTTGGTAGATGGATATTGTAATACTCGCTGATATCTTGCTGTATAGAATAGAATAGAATAGAATAGTACTTTATTCATCCCCAAGGGGAAATTTGTCTGTGGCAGCAGCAAACAGGGTTACACAATAAAATAAAAATAATAATATATAGATTTTCACTATTCTACACCAGATTTGTGTGTAAGGGTAAAGACTGACAGGGTCGCTCATTGTTATGAACAGACCGAGGATTATCACCAAACTCTGCAGTTCCACTTTGTAGCTTCATAATTGTTTTGATTTTCCACCCAGCAAATTTACTGTTTTGGTCCAGTCTTACCGGTCTCATTAGCGTTGTTTTTAGGAACAACAGGCGGCTGATTTTAGTGAAAAAGTTCTGATAAACCCGATGTACACTATGTCAAACACCAAAAAGACAAAGTTAGCAACTACCTAGTGAACATAATGGAGCAATCAGCAGTGAAAGAGGGGAGTTGGTGGAGACCAAAACAGGGTTAAAAGGAGAGTAATGGTGGACATTCAGCAAATGAATGCTGCTCCATCTCTGCTGGATGTGTTTCGACAACTGTTTTCTATTTTTGCCTGCATCTTAAAAGGTGTTAATATGTTTGTAG